TCCTTAGCACCATGCGAAGAGCGTATTTGAAAGCTTTTGTTAAAAGAATTAGAATTGATAATTCCAAACAAGGAATCATTGTGACATAGGATATGTAGATTTTTGCAATACTCTAATGGAGTATTAAGAAACCTACCACTGGAAAATAATCTCACATTCTAGTTCATATTCAGGAATGATAGAGAAGAAGGTAGAGTAGGACTCAAAAGAGGACAAAGAGGTGGACCCCGAAGATGAATAAGAGAAAGGTTGACAATGGGATATAGAAAGCTTATAGAAAGGTCAATACAAAAATAAAGAATGATATAAATCGTTGCATTTTTCTTTGCAGTTTATAAGAAAAATCACAAATTTCAATTGTTTCGGTTAAGGTTAAGTAAATTCGAATTCGAACTAGTACAATTTCTGTGGGAACGATCCTTGGATTCAAAAATCCATTTCACTACATGTTAGCGAACCGTGCAATTGCGATATTTTAAACGAATATATTTTTGTAACAGCACTCTTAGCTACTTTGGATTGTAGTGATTTAATTTAGCTTCAACTTGATCTAGAGGTGATATTTTACACTGCCAAGTCCAAAAATCCCCAAACTCACCACATCGTAGTGACGGCAATGGGGCTGGTTCAGCCCTGCCCCGTTTGGCTCGAACCCCGCCCCGCCTTAAACGAGGCGGGGCAGGGACGGGGCAACTTTTTGCCCTGTTTAATTTTTTTTTTATTTTTTTACATTTTCAAAGTTTCGAATTATGTTATTATTAGAGAATAAAATATAAATTCAAAATAGATTTTTAACGGGTGAATTATATAGAAATAAATTTTTTTTTAATTTTTTTCTTCACAGGGTAGGGCATCCTCGCCCCACCCTGCGCCCCGAGACGGGGCGCCCCGCCAACCTGTTCGGGGCGGGTTTTTTGTTCCATTCGGGGTGGGACGGGTTTTTTTTGCCATCCCTACCACATCGTTTTATATTTTTTTTGTTTTCTAATTTTCAAATTTAATTCTGTTTTGAAAAGATATAATAATATTAATAAATAAATAATTAACGAGGTGATAAATGAGAATATTTTAATTGGAGGCCCGTCCCACTCTCTCCCTTTTCCCTTCCTATCCCCTTCTTTTCCCACTTTCCAAAGGATTTTTGTACTTCTATAGAATATCTTCCCACCTTGTTTACGCATGCAATGTTGATAGAATGTGTTTGGCTGTCACTGTCAAAATATTCTTTCCTTTCTCTATTTATTTATTTATTTTTTCCGTGTGGGGGGGGGGGGGGCTGCTAATGAAGCATACTATTAAAGTGTCTTGAATTTTTTATACACATAGCAAGATTCCTTTCCAAATATTGTGATAGGTTTGGACAGCAAAGAGCCAACCATTTGTCTCTCCTAAATTAAGGTCCATATAATGATTCAAGTGCAAAACATCAAACGGAAATTTGTTCAAAGAACTAATTTTTGTGCTCTTTTTCCCAATCAAAGTCAACCCCTCGCTTGTCCCCAAAATAAAATGAAGATTTAAAAAAAAAAACTACGTTTATAAAGTACGATTAATCTTGAGAGGTTCTCGAATTGTGGTAGGAGATGGAGAAATTGAAAAATCTACATTTTGAATCAGTGAAGGAAATGTGAATACTTTGTAGAAGCTAATTCAAGAAGATACCAATAATTCTTGATAGATTTAAGAGTAAAAATCAAATAGTATTAAAAAAAAAAAAAATTGTGGTCAATCCACAACTTATTTATCGACAAAAGGTTGGTAGCATTTTGTGGACAATGGATAAAATGTTTTGAATTAAGCGTTGATTTAGGAGAGAATATTTTGTGGAGAGGGATGAAGGGCCTAAAAGAAATTAGAAAGAGTGAGAAAAGAGAATTGACTAGGGAGAACTAGTAAATGTATTATGCCAAAATTTGACATGAATAAAAATGAAATAAAACTTTCCAATTTGTGTGAGATTCAATATTTGGTTTATTTTTATATAATTTCAAGGGAAAATTTCATAAGTGATAGATTAATTATGCTACATTTCAAAAACAAGAAAACAAGTTTCAAATTTTAAAAACAAGATTTTTATTAAAAAAATATTTAGAATTTAATTAATTATTTTAGTAATTAAATATATTTAAGTCACAGATTTATATAATTTGGTGACACATTAACGATTTAATTCACCACTTATTATTTTTTGGTCACAAATCAGAAATTTTATGTCACAAATTATTTTACGGTCACAATTCAAGAATTTTATAGGTCATAGTTTGTTCATCGATCACAAATCGAAAAATTTATAAGTCACGCTTTATTTATTGGTCACAAATTATAAATATTACAAGTCACAGCTTATTATACAGTCACAATTTATTGGTCACAAATTAACATTTTTTAGGTCACACATTATTTTTCGATCACAATTTATCTTTTCATTGGTCACATATTATTTATTGGTCATAGATTAACCAACTTAATGGTCACAATCAACCAAATAATTTGTGACCACCACCAAGACTTACAATTCACAGTCACAATTTTCAAGTCACGTGTCCAATTGTGAGTCACGGTCACAATTTACAGGTCACATATTCAATTGTGAGTCACAAATCAACTAAATCGCCACAACCACCACCACGATCAACTGTGACTCCCCAATTGTGAGTTACAATTGGGAGTCACAATTACAATTTTCAGGTCACGGGTCCAATTATTTGTCACAAAATCAATCAAATCGCCACGACCACCACAACCATCGCAATTCACCACCACAACCACCATCACAAACCACTGCAAAACAATACAAAATCGTCGCCGATTTGCAACTGCAGTAACCATCATCACCACCAACCCCAAACGCCACCACCATCAACATCAACGCCACCAACCTCAACTTAACCACTAGATCTATTGCAACCAGAGCACCGATTCACCACTCACTTCACCAGTACAACCTCCGCCGAACCTGAATCCTCTCTCTTCCAACCGACCTTCCTTCAGCAATCAGATCACCGATTCACTTTTCGCTTTACCAGCACAACCTCCACTAAATCTGAATCCTCTTTCTTCAAGCCCTTGTTGGCCTTCACAGGTTTCAATTTCCTCACCGCGAGGATGAGTTGCATCTAAATGATCTTTTAGATCCCACAATCGGCGTGACTACAGTGAAAGTGAGGGATGGAGAGAGAGATGAGGAAGGGAAAGAGGAAAGACGGGTAATGAGGACTAGTAGTGGGTGTAGGGTTTTTATTTTTTTTGATAATTTGTTTATTTAAATAATTAATAAAAAAAACTGATTTATGAAATATAAAACTTCCACCCTGATTTGGGAATTTGGAATACTTGAACTATGGTTTTATGTAATTACCACTAATTTCAATTAGAAATGACTATTTTCATAAGTGGTAATTATATTTGTACCAAAAGTTTTGTTAGCTGCATTGAATTTTAGTCCTTAACATTTGCTTATATCTTGCTTATTTTTCAACATCTTTCATTATATTCAAATAACTAACCTTTCATTAATTAAGACATCTTATCACTCATGATAATTTTCATCTAATAGATACATTGGAAGTCATAAAACGACTTATTTATCCTTTATGTATAAGCCAAAAAAAAAGTAGTTCGTAAAAAAAAATCTATTACTTCAAAGCACGTCAACATACTATTAAAAACGTACATATTGACTAGACATCGATGTACTTGATTGACGTAGTACGTTGTCCAATTAGTAGTAAAAAGGAATTGGCAATTTAATTTTAAAAACTATTTCAGACGGGAGTTCCTTGTTATGTTGGGAAGCTTCTTACTGGATGTGGAAGAACTGGGGGTCTTAGGATATGTTCTAAATTAACAATCTCATAAATTCATTATATTGAAAGAAATACTTAGTGGTCGAAATTCAGGCAAGGGGATAGGTGTGCTTATTTTTTAAAACTAGGAGTTGGCCGTTCTTTTTTTTCCTTCCCACCTACTATTTTGGTTCCATAATATTGAAAGACTAACACATGTCAAAGCGTGTCAGCGCATGTCATTGTTCAATGCATGTCGGAACAGACTCATAGGCATCAATAACATGTTAGTGCGACTTATTATCCCACCTAATTCCCATCACTCAAAACAAGAAAAATTTCCGACTTTTTATGATCTTTAATTCTTTCTCCTAGTTGGCCTAATGTGTTCCCTTGTGCATTATCCTTTTCTTCGAAAGTACCAAATCATGTTTAACTCTCTCTCTATCTCTCCTTCGTGTTCGTTCCCAACTGAAGCCTTATTGTTCACTCCTTTTACTTATTTCGCTTCCCTTGTTTACCTAATGTTGCCCCTCAACTTATAAATAATCAAACCAATGGGCCACAGCCACTAGCTACTTGCCACACAATTATTGGCTAGGTTCCTCTTTTCGTTGCCCTGTGTTGAATATGTAATACTAAAACTAGAGCCTCGAGAATTTTCTTCTCTCTCTCTCTCTTTTAATAATTTATCTCCTAACTTTGGCTATTAAACAACTATAATTAAAGTTATGGTTATCCATTTAATCAACTCTCATTTCTCTCCCCAACATAAATTAATCATCTTTCTTTCTTTATTCCCACTTACATAAGCATCTCATTAATTAAATAATTTTTGGACTCTTAGCTATTTCGAATTACAACATCGAAGTCAACTTCAGCTTAATCTAGGAGTGACAAAATACACCTTCAAGTCCTAAAATCCCCGAACTCAACTAAATTTATTTTATTTTTTATTTTTAAATTTTATTTTCATTTTAAAAAATCAATGTTATTAAAATATATAATAAATAAAAGAGGTGATGAATGAGAATATTTTAGTCAACATCCTGTAAAAATTTGTCCAAAAGAATAATATTTTAGGCTTCCATAAAATATGGACACCGTCTATTTCTTCCGTATATTTCTATACCAATACTTGTTCGAAGTTTTCTGAAATATTTGATGGACTTTTCAACCATTAGAAGAAAAATTCCATTTTTATTCTTTAGATATTGACTGACAGCAGTCTTCATCGGATAATTCATGTATAAATACGTAGATCTTGAAAGGTTCTCGAATTGAGGTAGGAGATGGAGACATTGGAAAATCTGCTTTTTGAAGCAGCAGCTGAAGGAAATGTGAATTCTTTGAAGAAGCTGCTTCAAGAAGATCCAATAATTCTTGATAGAGTCATAGTTAATATTCACTCTGATACTCCTTTGCACGTAGCAGCAATTTTGGGACATATCGATTTTGTGAAAGAAATCTTAAGACGAAGACCTGAATTTGCACGAGAGTTGAACTTATGTCAATCATCGCCACTCCATTTGGCATCTGCTAAAGGTTATATCGAGGTAGTTAGAGTGTTGTTATCAGCTAATCCTCTAATGTGCCTAGCTCGAGATAGAAATGGGCTGACGCCTCTCCATCTGGCAGCCATCAAAGGCAGGATTGAAGTTGTGAAAGAGTTGGTTCATGCAAAACGTGATGCAGCTCGAGTGATCGTGGGTCAAGGCAGGACTATTCTGCATTTGTGTGTGAAGTACTATCAGGTTGAGGCCTTAAAGTTCTTAGTGAATACCTTTAGAGATCAAGATTTCACAAATTGTAAAGATAGTGATGGAAACACTATCTTACACTTGGCAGTAGCTGATAAACAAGTTGAGGTAAGCCAATAGCTCTATTACTTCTACGTGAACTCAACCGAACTTTTTCTTCATTTTATTTTCGAGGAATAACTTAACTTTTCATGTCAAATGTTTATAAATGAATTAACCATTTGGCAGGGAGGATTTAGAATAGAAAACCAAAAGAGAAGCTAAAATATTCTTTTGTGTACTAAACACTTACTAAATATTTTGAAATGTCTGCAGACAATTAACTTTTTGCTTATGGAATCTGCAAGGGATGTTAATGCTCAAAATCTTTGTGGGATGACAGCAATGGATGTTCTGATCTGTAGTCGAAGAGATTTAAGGGATGAAGAAATTGAAGAATCTCTAAAACGTGCTGGAGCATTTGGATCAATGGAAAAAAATTCATTAGTCCAAATTAATGGTAACATAACTAGTCCAGGCTTGAATTTGTGCTTGGATCCGACTGGTTTGTCATCAAACGTGAAAATAAACCTTAGGGAAAAGATGTTTAAACAAAAAGATGATTGGTTGGAGAAAAAAAGAAGTGCATTAATGGTGGTGGCTTCATTAATTGCAACCATGGCATTTCAAGTCGGAGTCAACCCTCCAAGTGGAGTATGGCAGGATACGAAAAAGGTTGACTCACACAATAATTCCGTATCAAAAGCTTATCATCACAAAGCAGGAGAATCCATTTTCGCCCATAATTATCCGATAGAATACGGAGAGTTCTTGATTTGTAATACTACAGGACTCATTGCTTCACTCAGTATCATATTATTGCTAATGAGTGGTTTACCTTTAAGGAGGAGAATATTTGTTTGGATTTTTCTGGTCATTACTTGGATTGCAATTACAGCAGTTGCATTGACTTATCTCAAATCAATATTTGTATTAACACCAGAGAAAGATAGACAGAAAGGAACAGTTCTTCTCATGGTTCAACTCACAATTATGATATGGCTTGGCCTAATGGCTCTCCTACTCATTGGACACACAATTCGGCTGATAATGAAAATGGTACGGAAGTTAATAAAATGTCGGAGCTCGAAAGAAAGGATTCCCGGTCTGGGAATTACAAGTCATGGCACTGTTTAAGGGGTTGTTACGCTATGTCTAGTAAGTTAGAGAAGGCAATATTGAATAATATTAAATTGAAATTGAAAGTAAAATCTTGTTTACTCTAGTGTCTAGTCATGTTCAATACTATAAATAGAAAAATGCCTGAAGTGTTTGCGCTATAATATTTAATGTATGACTATGTTGTAATTTTATTCCAATTATTGTGTTTCACGTAAGGACTCTGTAATACACATATGATTCTTTTGCTAAATCATAGGTAGTATATAATCTCACTCCATATACCATATTTTATTTATTCAAGCATGTGTTCAATCATCTCTTTTAAAAATTTAGCTACTAAAGAAGGATAACACTTAGTTGTTATTTAACTAAGTGGAAATTACACAAGATGTCATTTTTTGGGTTTGCAATTACAAAAATATCACATTTTAACCAAACTATCACTTTATAACTTTTATGACCCTCAAAAAAATTGAAACACCTTGGATTCCCTTAATTAAAATTGATTTGACTGGATGAAAGAATAGTACAAAAAGTTAATTTTTTGCATCACATCAAAAGCTCCCATCTCACTGCCTAAAAAAAAAAAAAGTATAAAAACTAAAAATGTAAAAATATTCATTCACATAGAAGCTGAAGCCCTAAACCTAAACGACTATCAATTTCCTCCCTCATTTTCTCTCGCTCAAGGTCGTCGGTGACTGCTAAAATATCCGTTTTTTCCAGATTTGTTAGTCTAAAAAGTTCATACAGTTTACTCTGGCAGTCATGCTGGAGCCCTAAACCTGTGTACTTTTTATTGAAATTATAAGTAATCTGCTTAAACTTAGGAGACGTTGAAGATCAATTGCAACAATTCGGTATGTTTCTTTTTCTTTCTTTTTTTTTCCCTGACTTGATTAGGATATCTTCATGTTCCCTTAAGGAAAAAAATGTTGTGACTCGAAAAGAGATTATCTTGATTCATGTAATTTTTCTATTGACGGTGGGAAGATAGAAATGTTGGTTTGATTGCAAATTCATTGTAATTTTTATCTTAACTTTCTTATAACTGATATCATGAAGTTTTGCGAAGTACTCTTGTGAGTTCACAAAATTTGGTGTGCAATGAGATGGCTGTTATGTAAATGGACTTCTTGCTCTTCTTAATCAACAAACAATGGTCAAGCCCCTATTAGTTAATGGTAGAAGATTAACTATGAGTAAGAATAAAGGTGTCTTCACCATACAAAGTATTTTAATAAATAACTATTAAAAATGTGAATATTACAAGTTTACAACGAAATCGGAATACCTGATTATCCTTCGCTTTTGGTGGTTTCTAGCTCGGTAGAGATTTTCTTGTAGTTCTCAGTCAGCATTGTTCACTTTCCTTGAGCAATTGAACAATAGGTAGCACTACCCATTTCTAGGTTGTTAACCAAAATATATATTCTGAATTTTTTCCGTTTCTCTTGTGGAGTTGGACATTTGTTAAACTTAAGGCTACATATTCCCGCTTAAGCCCACATGGTTGATTGTTGTTGCTGGATATCATTATATCTCTTCTTAGTTTATTTATTTAGAAATAAGCTTTATATACGATGTAACCAATATCTCATGTAGAGAAAACTGTTGCCTGATGTATGCAAGGCTCCCAATAGATGAAATTAGTTTCGCATTATTGCATTTTCTATTTTATTATAACAACATACCTTCAATTGAAGTAGCTTATATTTGGTTGATGTTTGTTTCATGAAGTAGTTCACCAATAAAACATTTATGCCTAAAATATGTGACATCAACTTTAGGCCTTCTAAAATTTCTTATATCCTCAAAATCGAAAACAAATATTGTGGTTTTACGAAAGTCACATAAAAATTTTAATTTTTGAAATGTAGATTTACTTTGATAATATATAAAAGTTTGGTATCATCAGAACGAGGTTTTGCACTGCTCCCAATAATCTGAAGAAAGTTGTCCCTCTGATGCCCTAGTTGGTATCATTATTATGGAAGAGAGAAAATATAGAGTATATGTCATTGTGTATTAAAAAATATTAAAGAGTTATCTTTCATACATGTTCCTATTTCTAGGCAAGAACATAGCTAGATATCTACAGGGCGATATGAATTTGTCGTAATGAAAGAGTGAGAAAAGAAATCTTGCTATCATTTTTGTAGGCTGTTCAAACATTTTTTGCTAGCATTTCGAAGAGCTAGATGAAGGATTGGGGTCTATTGTTGGGGTTGTGTTCCCAATCTTGAGCATAAAATGTTAGACAATATTCATTTATTGAGGCATCAGGCAGAGGTGCCAAATAATGTTTTTTGGTTCTTGGTATCATCAGATATCAAATACCATTTTTTCTAGGCCAGTGACTTTGAGGTATTTTTTTTCCTCCTTTTTGATTATAGATGTTAGAAGTGTGACTCAACTAGGACTCTAAATTGCATTAGATTTCTTACCTTTTTTGGGACTCTTTTAGGGCTAGATTTTATATTATAAATACAGGGCTCCTTTTTCTGTATTGTTTAAGCCATTATTGCTATAATTCTCTCCTTTCATTGATTGAATAAAATAACATCGTTCCTCTGCCAGTTCTTTTATTTCTTTACTTTAATCTTGTTCTTGGGTTATTTGTGATCTTGTTCAATACTTCAATTACAACAAATTGTATTCATTAAATCTCAATTCCTGCATTATTGGTCAATCGGTCTCAACAAGTGGTATCAGAGTGGGGTTGTTGGAGGATTTTTTGCCTGAAACTGAATGGAAAATCGTCTAAAAATTACCAAAAAATCAAAAAATGAATCTGTCCAATTTTTTGACTTTCTACCGAATTTTTTTTTTTTGCGTTTTCTGGTCAAACCAAAAAAAGTTTGGAGAAACGAACACCACCAGTGGACTCAGCAGGTAGAGACGGTCTAGAAAGGATCACAGGTCGTCGACGCGTTTCCGGACGGAAGCCGACAGTGGAACTCCGGCGAGGAGAGTGGCGGTGCGTGCAGCGGTTTCCGGCGATGCTATCTTCTGGCAGTTTTCTCCGAACGATGAGACGGACCTTGTGGTGGTGTCCAATTTCAGTTTTGGACAAAATTTTGGTTATGGACTATTTTGCCCCTTACATGTTCGGTAGTTTTCAATTTTGGGTGTTACAAGTTGCAAGTTCTTCGTGATTTGATTGAGATTTTTCAAAGATGAATTCATTGAAGTATGAAATTCTGCTATTGGATCGCAATACAAGATTTTCGTTGTGGCAAGTAAAGGTGAGAGCTGTGTTGACGCAAATGGATCTTGATGATACTTTGCTGGGTTTTGATAGGATGCCAGCAAACTTGTCTATGGAGGAGAAACAATGGAAGGATCGGAAGGCTTTAGCGCAAATCCAACTTCATTTATCCAATAATTTGCTGCAAGATGTTTTGAAGGAGAAGACAGCGACTGCTTTGTAGCTCAAGCTAGAGCAGTTGTGCATGACAAAGAGCTTGACGAGCAAACTGACTCTAAAGCAGAGGTTGCATTCTCATCGCATGGCGAAAGGAGGGTCACTGCAGGACCACCTTGCTGTGTTCAAGGAGATCGTTGCAGATTCGGAGACGTTGGAGGTAAAATATGATGAAGAGGATTTAGCCTTGATCCTGTTGTGTTCACTACCCAATTCTTTTTCGTCATTTGGTGATACTATTTTGTATAGTCGTGAAACGTTATCCATTGAAGAGGTATACGACGCCCTGTTCTCAAAAGAGAAGATGGAGTTGTTGGTTGGAGATCCTGCATCTAGGAGTGGGGATACTCTTGTTACTCATGGTGATCGATGGAGGGGTAGATCGAAGGTGAAGTACATCAATGTGTATTGTTATTACTGCAAGAGGAAATGACACATCAAGAAAGATTGCAACAAGTTGTAAGGTAAAGGTGATTTACATGCAAATCATGCGGGGCAATCAGGTAATTCGAACGAAACTAATATTGCTGAAAATTTTTGTGATGATGGAGATGTGATGTTGGTTGTATCTGACGGGGAATCCAATCCTGAGGAGTGGATTTTGGATTTTGCTTGTTCGTATCATATGTGTCCCAATAGGGCTTTGTTTCAAATATATGAGACGGTGAAGCAAGGTGGAGTTGTCATGGGAAACAACCAATCTTGCCAGGTTGCAGGAATCGGTCGAGTCAGATTGAGACTACAGGATGGAATAGTGAGGACACTTGATCAGGTTCGCCATGTTCCAGACTTAACAATGAATCTCATATCACTTAGTACCTTGGATGAAAAAGGGTATAAATTTTTTGGTGGAGCTGGAGTCTTGAAGGTTCGAAGGGGTGTCCGGGTTGTACTGGAGGGACGGAGGAAATCTCAGTTGTACATCTTGCAGGGGAGCGCAGAACCAGTTTAGAGACATTTGAACAAGTTCAGTACCGTGGTGGACATTCAATTTGGTACAGTACCTCTCGGGTTTGGCTCTGGGTTTGTTAAGAACTTTGCTCTCAAGGGAGTGTTGGTGATTCCGATTTACCACCAATTTTAGCGTGTACACTGTGTTCTTGTAATGCCAATGGACTCATGGAGCATAGGTATAGTTTTGGAGATGTCTGTAATGCTTTAAAAATCATTGAAGGTGACAATATTAGTAAGGGACATTCTGATTGTGCATTTGGTGTGCTTTCTGCCACAGGGTGTGCTTCGACCCTGTCCAGTGATTGTTAATTCCAGGAGGAATTTTGGGAACCCGAGTTTGGGTTCCGATGTCGCTAGTAGACGCCGGGCGGGAAAACGTGTTATCGTGGAGAGTTTGGTTATTGCGTTGAAGAGATTGGTCAGTTCATTCTGATGCAGACAGATTATTTCTCAAGGTGGAGAAATTTTGGAGCTTCGTTCGTTGCACCGAAATTTGAGTCAAGGTGGAGATTGTTAGAAGTGTGAATAGGAGTCTAAATTGCATTAGATTTCTTACCTTTCTTGGGACTCTTTTAGGGCTAGATTTTATATTATAAATACAGGGCTCCTCTTTCAGTATTGTTTAAGCCATTATTGCTATAATTCTCTCCTTTCATTGATTGAATAAAATAATATCGTTCCTCTGCCAGCTCTTTTATTTCTTTACTTTAATCTTGTTCTTGGGTTATTTTTGATTTTGTTCAATACTTCAATTACAACAAGTTGTATTCATTAAATCTTAATTCCTGCATTATTGGTCAATCGTTCTCAACAATAGATACCAGACATT